TTTAAACAAATCAAATCATACAATAATATCTTATTTGTTTATTTACCTTTTACATTTGTACAACCAATACAACACAATCTCAACCGTCTATTTGATTTGATGAATATGTGATTTCATAGAAGTTTTGATTGTTTCCTAATATAAAGTATTGATTATAATTAATGAACTCTATTCATCTTTCATAAATATTCAAATCATAATAAATAAACCTCTCATCATTTCTATAAATATCTCAATTAATTGGGTTGCATTGGTTGTAGAAATGGACATGGTTGCATTTGAAATATACCATATATATATATATATATATATTTGTGTATATAAAAATATTGTTTTTACTTTTTTATCGAAAAAAAAGACAAAAGAATAAGCAAACGGCTAAAATGGCCCTTGATTTAACGGAGTTAACAAAAGCGTTAGTCAAAAGGACTATGGGTAAAACAACTTGAATACCACAAGAACCAAATTCACAATAAACATACCATAGGGACCCTAATAATAGAAACATCAAACCAGGACCAAATCCACAATTCACGCTACTAATTATATTTATTTGTTATATATTAATACTCATTGGGTTTGTCATTGTTATGTTATTAAACATACACAAATACTATACATAAAAACTTGCTAATAAATACTTGGTATCGGGGTCGGGTCAATTTTGAAGAGTATACCTATCCCTTGTCACTCAAGGATTCTCCAATCAAATCGGTTTCAGATATTAGGTTCCCCATCGAGTATGGCACTTTTTGCCATCCCTACCCAAAAGGCCGATCATGCCCATTTTTGAAAAACAATCCCGATTAGGTATGATTAAGCAAATCTTGAATAAAGCACGTGATCGAGGACCAATTAGGCCTAGACCAACCCCACAGGAAAACTAGGTGTTGCATAGGAAAAGGATGGGCCAAATAAGACCGACTCAAGACTCCAAAAAAGATCGTTAAAAGGTACTTCCATGGCTAATTTTAGTGGAATTTAGTAGGCATGGGAATGAGCACCGACCCGTCGGGGAACCCGATCCATCCGCCCCGATCGGGGACGGGGATGGGGACAAGGACGGGGATCCCCATTTGTCTCAAACCAGGGATGGGGACGGGGAAGGGTATGGTACTCCCCGTCCCGCCCCGTACCCGTTATATATTAATTAATAAATTATATATATACATATATATACATATATATATATATATTATTTCAACTAAAGCGATAATTCATAATTTCTTTTTTTCTTAACTAGGTTTATAATCTAAAATTGTTATTTTTTGGATGTTAAAAGTAATATTTTGAATGTCAAATCAAAATACAATTACTCGCTAAGTTTTATATGTTACTCGATATGGTTTTATATTACTCAATATCTTTTGGTACACATGACTTTAAGTTTTCTTGGATTAATTGAATTTTTTTTGGTTTTAGGTTATTAGTTCGTATATGATGTTGTGGCTTTTTTGTATCAAATTAAACTCATTTTGGTTTTAGGTTTATTGCAAATGTTTGAGATTTAAACATGTATGGTCTCTCGCATATTTAATTTAAAATAACTTATATAAACGGAAAAAAAATCTTCGTTTCCCCGTTGGGAATGGGGATGCAATTATTTTCCCCAGCAGGGATGGAAACGGGGACGGGGATAGAGATAAATAGTCGGGAACGAAGACGGGGACTGAGGTCCTGATCGGTTATATTTCACACCTTTAGACTTAATGAAATTGGGCCGAAAATCAAGTATACAATACGGCCCAACGTCGTCTTTCCAAGTAATAAGTGGTACAAGTACCGGATTATCGTCCACAGAGATTGCAGTCAAAGTTAGATTAGAGTCCAATGAAAGAGATGATTTTAGATGACGATTTTGAAGACTTTTCTTTGATTTTAAGGTGATCCAAAACAAAATACAAAATATATAAAAGAAGCAAGGGTGTAAGACTTAAGGTGAGACCCAAACACAAATTYCAGCAGCCAATGCTGTAGCAATGCCAAAGGAATGCTACAGCAAGCAGTGTTTCGAAACTAAGTTTCACCATCTATTTTGAAGGCATTTCTCTCGGACTTCACCATTTCACTATCTTATAGCTTTCCACCCATATCTCTATGTGGTGTTCGGACCGGGGATAGTGACACGATGATGTATTCAAAATATATGGATAAACAAATCTCTTCGTTAAAAATCACTCTCTCGAGTCGATTCCCATATCATTCGAGTTGGCGTGTTCTTGATATTTCATCTCTGAATATATCACACTTTGACACTTTTGACAAGCGACCAACCCGTCGGGAGTTACGTTTTGAAAAACATAAATGACAAGTCTCCTTGTCGGCAACTTTCTCAAGTCTATCTCTTATGTCATCCAAGTTGACGTGCTTAATGATGGCTTATCTCTAAGTCCATCGCACTTTAACACTTTCAAGTGATCAACCCGTCAAGAAGTGTGCTTGGTTGTATAAAAACTCGAATGAAACAATGAAACGTCGTTTACGAAAACACTTAGCTACTTTCGTTTGGTTTGAAAATCTCACCTTTCCGTCTCACACCCAAGCTATAAAAACTTAGCAACTCATAACGGAAAGTAAAAAATAAATGACGGAAAGTAAAGACATAAATGTAAATTGCGTAAAGTAAATAACGATAAAATAAATGACGGAAATGTAAATGACGATAAAATAAATGATGGGAATGTAAATGACGAGAATGTAAATAGCGGAAAATAAATGACGGAATGTAAATGACGAGAAAATAAATAACGGAAAGTAAATAACGGGAAAATAAAAGACAATAAAGTAAATAAAGAAGAAGATGAAGATGAACTTGAAATCTTAAAGAACTTGAAAAACACCCTAGGAGAGGGTTTAAAGCAAAAGAAAGAAAAGTTGGGAGAAAAGAGAAGGAAGATTAGAGAGAATCCAATAGATGATGGATTAAAGGTGTCTGAAATATAGTAACCTTAGCCACCTATTTATACCCAAAATGGGCACAAAAAGACAAAAGAACTAAACTTGGAGGCTAAGTTTACCAACACTAGTTACATTACAACAAAAGCTTAACTAGCAAGTACAATCCTTAACCAAAGTTCAACTAGAAAGTACAAAAGCTTAACTAGAGAGTACATAAGCTTAACTAGAGAGTACAACTGATTTTCTACTAAAAATCCAGCCATTTTACAGCTGTATTCCACCTTCAAAAAGCCAACGTCTTGTTCATTAATCCCTCCAAAAAGTCGTGCAAGACCCAGGCCAACGTTGCACCAATGCTGTAGCATTTGCTGTTTTYACAAAAACTCTCAATTAGCTTCAATTTTGCATGCCATCAAGTCAACCACAACATTTAGCTTCATAATAACAAAAGTATAAAGAAATAAATGAAAAGGACTCAATTTGGGAATGAAAATAAATTATTGTAACTAAAAAGTCCTAAAAAGAGCGCGTTATGTGTTAAATTCTCAACACATATCAGGTCCCCGTCCCGTCCCGTCCCTTTTTTTTTTTTTTCATTCCTCATAAATAACTAGTTTCAATAATATTATTAGAATTGGTGATTTAGCATAAATAGAGTAGAGGTTTCATTTTGTTTCATTCATAAAATTTTAAATTCTTATTCTAACATTCTTAAGATCTAACTATCATATTCTTGAATCTTCTTGTGGCCATGAAAGTTCAAATGCGGTAACTCCAGGCTATCTGCAAAACATGTGATCGCTCTGGGATTAGTCGGCTCGTATAGCGGGTTAGATATCCAGGTTAATCAAAAAAAAAATTATCATATTCTTGTAAGTTTTGTATTATTGTAATTTTTTGATCTTTTCCTATTCTCAAAAACCGACAATACAATCAGATTTTTTCTACATCATCAACAATCTCAAAAATTACGAGATTACCCTCGAACACAACTATAAAGCGGTAATTAAGGAACATTACAATTTCTTTGTACTTGATAGGAAACAAAAGCATGCACAAGGTAAAACATGTGGGAATCTCTCATGGCTCAAGGAAATATCATGTTGAAACGTCACACGAATTATTACTTTTTCCTCAAACGTGGTGAATCATAGTATGAAATGCAAATTGATTTAGCTGGCCAAAAGTTTACAATAAAGGTATTCGTTGAAGTTGGAAAATGAAGACAGTGATACAAGATGGACGATCATCTCAACATTTAGAATGTGAACATATCACATCGTTGAAACAAAAACATGATTCAGCTGAAAATGGTTTATTAATACGGCCATTTACTGATAACCGAATATAAATTGGATTTTTTTTTAAATTTTAATTTGAAATACTTCTTACATTTTTCTTAAACATGTGACATTGTTGTTAATGTTTAATTGAATATTTTTAACCACAAAGGTGGTGTCTGATTGGTTTGAGTTTGGCTTCAAAGGTCAAAAGTACCAGGAGGTCCCAGGTTCAAATCCAAGTAGGAATAAAAATCCCTTTGTGGCTACGGATGTTCAAATACGGTGACTTCGGGCTATCTGCAAAGCAAGTGGTCGTCCTGGGATTAGTCGGCTCGCATAGCGGGATGGATATCCAGGTTAATAAAAAAAATATTTTTGTCTTTTTTTTATCAATGTGGATATCCAACCCGCTATGTGAGCTGACTAATCTCAGGACGACCACCTGCTTTGCAGACAGCCCGGAGACACCGTATTTGAATCTCTGTGGCCACAAGGGTATTCTTATTCCTCCTTGGATTTGAACCTAGGACTTCCTGGTACTTTTTGACATTTGAAGTCAAGCTCAAACCAATCAGACACCATCGTTCTGGTTTCATATCCCAAACAAATATTGATGCAATGAACACAATCTTTTCCTAACTACCAACTTGACAAATAATCCAAAATTTGAAATATTTACTTTTTGAGTCAATATTTAATTTTGTAAACTTAATTTTTGGTGGTATTATAACACACTTTTGCCAACCCATGTGATCTTTGTCACCCCTCCATTTGCTAATTCCTTTTTTAAATTCACACCTCCCTTCCCCCTTTGCTCTCCATTTCCCACTTCAAAAATGCATGATTCAGTTCCAATTTAAACAAAATTACCATCAAAATCTCCATATTTTTCCTTAAATTTTTTCAACCAATCCTTTTACTTCTTGAAAAGGGTACCCAACAAAGCTTCTTCTTTACAGTCTCAAATGGTTTCTGTGCATGTGAACCTTGGGTGAAAGGTCACCTTCCTTGGCTCTTTCTGAGGTTTTCTAGCTTAAAAGATTCTCAAGTTTTTGATTTAATTAATGGGGTTTTTTTGTTATTTAGAAATTAAAAAAAACCCATTAAATTCTTGATGAGTTGAGTTCATATGTAGCTTGATTATTGCATCTGGTTTTGGAGATATTGAATCTTGTTGGAGGGTTAAAAATGGGGTCTTTTAGTGGTTTAGGGATTGGTTTAAGTTTCCTTTTTGGATGTGTGATTTTAGGGTTTGTTGCAGAGCTCTATTATCTTCTATTGTGGAAGAAGCAAAGAGAAGATGTTGAAAACCAGAATCTTTCTTCTTCCAATTATACCCCTACCCATCTTTCCTCTTGTTTCAAAAACCCTAATTCTTCGAACACCCAACAGAAAGATTTGCAGAATTGTGTGAATGAGATTGAGAGTCGGGGGAAACAACAAAACTCAACACAAAAGGATCCGCCATTGAAGGGTTTTGGAGAAGAAAGCTTGGATCTTGAGCTCATGAGGCTTCATAACTTATGTGGGCCTCCAAGGTTTCTTTTCACAATCAATGAAGAAACCAAAGAGGATTTGGAATCAGACAGCAGAAAGGGTTCAAGAACCAGAAGTCTGAGTGAGCTTCTCTGCACACCAGAAACACCAATCTGTTGTTCATCGCCATTGAAGGGCCCACAAGCTCCCAATTTGGAAGGCTATTTGAATCCATTGTATGATTCTGATACCAATGAGTTTGAGTTGAATAAAGTCAGATCTTCACCACCTCCAACATTCAAGTTCTTGAGAGATGCAGAGGAGAAACTACTGAAAAAACTGATGGAATTAGAAGCTGAGAAAAGGGGAAATTTGAGAAGGAATCAAGATGGAGATTGTTCAAGAAAAACAGAGGTGGAGGGTAAAATGGTAAAAAGAGAAGGAGGGATTCATCATCTTCAAATGTCAGCATCTTCACAGGTACTTCCATTGTCTTCTTCTCCATCAAAGTGAGGTTTAATTTATGATTTTATTTTCTTTTTGTATTAATTGAATTTACACCTGTTTCTGTTTCTGTTACTTGTTCAAATATGAGTTAAACAAAGCATAGGGGTTTAATTTAAAATTAATGATGTGATTAGTTTAATTAATTATGTGATTAATGTTCACATGATTTCTATAACATGTTTAGGTTTATTTGTGTCTTTAATTTTGAGAAGACGAAAATAAAACCACAAGGATGGTATCTGATTGGTTTGAGCTTGGCTACAAAGGTCAAAAGTACTTGAAGATCACAGGTTAAAATCTAAGGAGGAATAAAAATTTTCTTGTGGCCATGGATGGAGGTTCAAATGGGGTGACTTCTGGCTATCCGCAAAGCAGGTAGTCGTCCTGGAATTAGTCGACTCGCATAACGGGTTGGATATCTAAGGTTAATAAAAAAAATTGAAAATTAAAACAAAAAGATGAAAATTGGGTTCCATCTTGTTGTATTGTATTGTATGTAATCAAGAGTTAGTTTTTAATAATGTTGCCACCAACCACCCTCCACCATTTAACATTGATATTGACTTGTTGACAACCTAATTTAAAATGTCATAAATTGTGTTATTTTTTAACAATCAAAATAGACAAGTCTTATGTTTTTCTTACACCAAATTTATCTATATTATATTATAAAACATTTGATAAAAACTTTTAAAAATTATTTTTTATACATGAAGTATTATTTATTGATGCATATTACTTAAAATTCAAGATCACAAGTAAATTGTATATGAGTACCATTAATTAAAGTTTTTTTTTAATTTGTGTACCTAACTATAGATAACCATAATCAAATATGAGATAAACATTTTATTTTGAATATAAAAAATTTAAAATATAATTAAGATAATCATTAGTTATAACAAAATACTTAATTATTATCTTTATAAAAAATTATATTATTAAACGAAAAATAAATTAATTTGTTATTAAATCCAATTTAAATTATAAATAAAATATTAAATTAAAGAAATTACACAAAAAAACAATAACTTTAAATGATAGATTTAATATTATTATAGATATGTACTATTTTTCAAATTTTTATGATATTTTTAAATTTATATTTTATTCAAAAATAAAAATAATATCGTTTTCTCAGAACCACTAAAAACCGTATTATATCGACGGAGATAAGTAATAAAATGAAACATAATTAAAATATATTTCGCTATATCATACGAGCACTCTTATAGTTATAGTTTAAAAATTATATTATAATATTTAATTTGACATAATTTAATAAGAATGGATTTTTTTTAAAAGGTTTTTAATAAAGAGATAGATGAAAAATATGAACACCAAGTCACATTATCTTATCGGATGAATATGGTAAGAACCAAAAATCTTATCCGGTAAAAACGAGACAAGGACCAAAAGTCTTACCTGGTAAGTAAGAGCGACGACTTTTACCATGCTTACCGTGTAATTTGTTGCATATGATACTGTTTTGATGGATTGAAATCTTATCCGATAGGTAAATGATAGCATTGAATTTTACTGGTAATCGTTTACTGGATAAATATTTGGTAAACGGTTCTTAAGTAAGATATGAACCATTGGAAGGGAAAGTAAAAAAATTATTAATTTTCTTTTAAAAGATTTCTTTTTATTTATGTCACGTAATTATAATCATGTATTATCCACATAACCTTGTTTAAACTAGGTAAGCAAAAAAAAATATCAGTTTAAAAGGTAACAGGTTATTTATTGATATAATGAGTAAATTTTTTAAAATATAATACTTTAATAAAAAATAATTTGAAATTATTGTTGTAATAAAAAAAACGAAAGTACAAAATGCTATAATTAAAAAATTTACGAAAACAGATTACTATTTTATACAATTAGCTTTTTAAAAAATTACATCTATTATTAATTAAAAGACTTCAAATTTATGTGTTTTAGGTGAAACACATAAATTTATTGTGCTACAATCGGGAGATCTTCATCGAAAAATACGTTCTTATATATGCACAAGGTCTGGGATTTTTCAGACTTGGATTTGTGCCTTTCGATCCCGTTTTCAGTGAGCAAAAAAGGCTCAGGGTTCTTAGGTCAATGGGCTTTTCGATTGCAAAAAGGCTCGATAGGACTTTTATAGTCTAGCATTGATTGTGACTCTTCCTAACTTTTTCGGCCTCGACTTGCCCCCAAATGTTTAGCCTGATCGGGTTTTGAGGTCTGGCCTGATTCAGGTTTCGGGTTTGAGTTTTTTTTTGCATCTTTAGACGTTATAGATGGTATTTCTATATTATTTCACCTTACACAACCCAAATTTCAAGTGGAGTACATTGTGTTACTTTGGTTTTATTTTTTTCAAACGTCAAGGATGAATCTATACTATATTATAAAGCATTTGATGAAAACTCTTAAAAATCATTTTGTATGTATGAATTACTGTTAATTAATGCATATTACTTAAAATTCAAGATTACAAGTATATTGTACATAAGTACAATATATTAAAGCTCCATTTTTAGATTCGTATATCTAACTGTAGATAAACATAATCAAATATAAAATAAACATCTCATTTTAAATATAAAAACTCTAAAATGTAATTAGAATAATCATTGACTTTAAAGAATTATATTATTAAATCAAAAATAAATTANTTTTAAATTGTTATTAAAATAAAAAAATATAGAAAGTGAGGGGTTTGTTGGGCTAATTTATATAAACATTAGGATTTAAGGAAATAACAAAAAGATAATAAAAAAAAAATAGAAGAAAAAATCCAAGGGAAATAGTCAAATAGGAAACCTTCTTCCCATATGAAGATTTTTATGATTTTTTTTAACTATCGGTGTCTCGTGATTCGGTTTGGAAAATCTTTAATAGTCTTGTAGGATTCGAACCAGTGACTTTTAATGAGAGTTACCAAAGACGCAAACTTTATTGCCAATTAAGCTAACTCCACTAGTTTTTTTTTTATTGAATAAAACCCCATAAGGTTAAGATTATGATTTTCATAGTTATCAGTGTTTAGGTTTATTCTATAAATATAAAAGGTTGACCGATTCAATCAAACTTTAGATTAAACTATGAAATCTTGAGCTTTCTTTGTTATAAATTTGATTTAAGCTTGAGATATATGATTCAAGACTTAGAGGTAAATTCCAGTTCCAAACTATGAGCTAATCTTTTATTGTCTTTTTTTTTTTCGAGTTTTTGAATTAATTGGTCAGATATATTTACGTTTTTAGGGTTGTTGGGTTGAACACCAGTAATGGTACTTCTAACCAATTTTGAAGTTACCCAAATTGGCCTTATTTTGCTTTGATTTATGTACAAATTTAATAGATTTGTGTATAAAATAATCATACTAACCATTGTCGTGTTGAAAGATTGATTTGGGGTGGTTTGAAAATTGGTCTATAAATCGGGTTTGGCTAAGTTTTTGGTCCTCTTCACTTAGCCCTCTCCAGCTTTTAACTTTACTTAGAACATCTTCAACATCTATGTTATTTTAGAAATTTTGGAGACTTGGGAAAATGTTTGTTGCAACAACTACGCAAAACGCTCCTTAAAAATTGAGAAAAAAAAAAGTTAAAGAGAGGGGAAAAATCTCCAAATTTGGAATAAGAAAGAAAACATATCATGCTCTTAAAAATTGGAGTAAACTGTGATTTTTATCCTTGTGGTTTCTTATTTATCACTGTTTTCATCCTTGATCTTTAAAAATTGAAGTTTATTTGAGAGTAAATTACATTCCTGGTCCCCCTATGGTTTGCGGTTTGTTTAACTAAAGTCCTTAAAACGCATTTATTACACTTTCAGTATATGTGGTATTCAAAAACGAACGCTCTTAAATCTCGTACTCTAACATAAATAAAAAAGATTTTTTTTAATCAGTCTCTTTTTTTCATTATATTTCATAAACCTTTTATTATTAATCATGGATTTGTTCATATAATAAAAACTACAATTAAAAAAATTATAACAAAAGAGAATTTTTAAATAGTTAATTTGATACTAATATTGATATTTTTTTTAAAGTTTTATATTATATTCAAATTTATATTTTATTCAAAAATAAAAAGATTATTGTTTTCTCAAATCCATGTTAAACCATAGTATATTGACAGAGACAAAGAATAAAACAAAATATTAAAATCAAAATATATCTCACTACATTGTATGAGTATCCTTCTAATATAATATAATACATAATTACAAAAAGGCGATTTCTAATGTCCTTCAAAAGTAAAAGGAAATATGGGCCATATCATAATTAATTGTAAGTATGGTGGCCAAAATGTAATATATATAAATGCAGTTAAAAGGTGATGTTAGGCACAAAGCAATTGGGAGTATTAACATTAGACTTTACTTTTGGTCATCAAATTTGGTAGGAGGTGAAATGCATTCACATCTACTCATTCAATTACTTTCTTAAAATAACTCATAAACTTCACATTAAGGGACCATTTATCTAAACACTTACGCGGTAAGTATTTATCGGTAAAATTCAACAATATCGCTTACTTATTGGGCAAAATTTTATTCACTAAAATGCATCGTAAGCAATAATTTATCCCGATAAGCGCTAACAATGGTAAGAGTCCTCGTTCTCACTTACCAGGTAAGACTCTCGTTTCTTGCATTTGTTCTTACTGGGTAAGATTATTAGTCTTTGTTATAGTCATCTGGTAAAGTGAAGTGACTTAGTAAACGTTACCCGGGTAAGCGTTTGGTAAACGGCACCTAAACTATGTTTTTAGTCCTTAATTTATGGATTGCTAAAACTTGTTGTTTTTGATTTTGTGTATTTGAAATTACGGTTATCGTTTTTATGGTTTATAACTCATTGTTTTTTTTTTTGTCTGTGGTTTATAATTTATTGTTGTTTTCGTCCCTTCGTACTTAACGGTAACTCCTATCGGAAGTTAGTCTCAGGAACAAAAACAACAACGAATTGCAGGCCACAAAGACAAAAAATTATAGTTTACTTTGAAGTTCATTAAAATCTCTAAATCGAAACTACGATTATTTATTTATTGACGTGTTATCGATAAGTTATTGGATTAGTTTTTATTATATAAGAAACTCACGTAGAAACACTTGAATACTTGACTCCTCGTGGTCAAAGAAACCAAGTCCGATCAAATCTTGAAACGTTGTTAGAAAGAAACGTCGCTTTTGAATGTTTGAAAAGCGAAGTAGTGAATTCAAACAGTGTAGTGAGATATACTGGTGTAAATTTACTCTTAGGTTGTGTTTGTCAAACTAATTTTTAATTTTAAAAAAAATAGAATTATAAGGATGTTTATTTAAATGGTGCTATTTTGTTCTTTATAGATTGTAAGATTGAGTCTTATAACCATAAGAGTGGTGCCTGATTGGTTTGAGTTTGACCTCAAAGGTCAAAAGTACCAGGAGGTCTCAAGTTCAAAGCTAATGAAGAATAAAAATCCCCTTGTGGCCACGGATTTTCAAATACGGTGACTCCGGGCTATCTGCAATGCAAGTGATCGTCCTGAAATTAGTCGGTTGGATATCTAGGTTGATAAAAAAAATTAAGTGTTATACCTAAATTTTGTTTATTAATCCACCAAAGTTTTAATTAAAAAATGGAAAATGTTGAAGTTGTGTCATAATCACTTTAAATGTGGGCACATGTCTTGTTGATGTAGATTTATTTATTTATGTTTTAATAATACCGACTTATTTCTTTTTTTAGTTCTAAATAATTATTTATTGATTGATTTTTTTTCAAATCTGATGCTAATTATTTTCTTCATAATAAATATATTAATTAATAGCATCAAGATTATAAGGTTACTTTATTTTGTTTATAAGCTTAAACCAGTTGAAGGGTAATGGAAACTATATCGATGGTGACCCATAAATACTTTTCTTAAAACTAAATTAGAATAATAAACGCTAAATCTTATATATATATATATATATATATATATATACACACACACACACAATTGGTATCACGTGATACCAGTTGTTTTCGTGAGATCCATAAGACCACTTTTTTTACACTTGAAACTTTACAGCAAAACGCTGTGAAGGTAACCTTCACAGTGTTTTTGCTGTGAAGGTTCGGCTTCTTTTTTTACCTTCACAGCGTTTTGCTGTAAAGTTTCAAGTGTAAAAAAATGGTCTCACGGGTCTCACGAAAACAGGATTGTCTCACATGAACCCAACCCTATATGTGAGAAAAGTATTTATCGGACTATGTGAGAAAACAGGCTGGTCTCACAAAAACAGGATTTTTAAAAAAAATGAAAACTAAATTATATATATATAGGCATAGGATTATGTGAGAAATGGACTTAAAGTGAGAAGTGGACTTAAAGTGAGAAGGGTAAGAAGAGTTTTAAGTCCTTGATCAATTTTAATTAGATTTAATCTAATGGTTAAGAATAATTCCCAATTTAACTCATCAAATACACTGGAAGGGTATTTCTGTCCTTTTGTAATTTTTTTTATCTTTAGTCTCATTCATTTCAAAATGTCGCGTTCCAACTCTTCACGAGAATTCTCTCTACTTCGCCGAAGAAATCTCTCCCTCAACTAAAAGGCACCAGAGAAGTACATAAGTTGTAGCGTGATCTTCTTCTTCTTCACCGTTACTCCTACGATTGATCATCGATCATAAACCTTATCTCTTTGGTCATTGAATAGCTTTAGAAAACCCAAAAACACAACTATGATTGCGGATAGTCTCGTTGCTTTGAGATCTTTAATGGCTTCACATACTCCATCTCTCGATGCCCAGTTGTTCACTGAAGATTATCACCATGTTCTAGTTTAAACTTTCCTTATCTAGATCTTGTACTCTTTTTTGATTTGTTGCAATGTCAAACAATTTGCAGTTGAAGTTTTAATTAGTTGAGGTATAAGTGCATTCATTAATACATTATTAAGCATGGTTTTCTCCCTTTATGTTCTTAGCTTTGCGTAAATGAAGCGAATATGACAAGATTGTTGAAGGGAAATGATACACAAAAAGGTTGAATGAGAAACAATTACTGCTCTACTGCAAGTTACCTGCCACAGACCCAAGGATTGTAAAAAATGATAACTTGCAGGTATCAGTTTTTGCATCATCATGTTCGCCATTTTGTTTCAAGCAAAGTAGTGATCTTGATCAAACACTAAAAGAGCCCAAATGGCTATCTCTCAAGCATTTCTTTTGTACTTGATTTTTAATGTACTACCCATGGCAATCTTTGAGGGTAGTTCAGCCATTTCACATCCTTGTATTTAACCTTTTGTTTCGTTAGTACAAAATACTCTCTCAAGTATTTCTTTTGTCACATGGATATTGTGCTAGATTTTGGAGATGTGTGTCACGTACAATGCCAATTTATGAAGGTTATGTGTTTCTGCATGCCACCCTTCGTATTGATCTTGCTAGGGCATGACCTTACAGATTCTCTCGTGAAAAACTTGACTAAAAGAGGTTACATGTTCACCACCATTTTGTTTGAAATTGTGATTATTCATATTGTTCGCGTGGATATTGTGGGGGCATCAAGTTTGTTTGTTGTTGTGATCCAAAGTCTCTCTAACTATGAGGTATAATTTCGAAACACTCGATTTATTCCGGTTCATATGGGTCCTTGTAGAGTTACTGTTTTATTTTCCGCTGTATTTGAGATCCCATAACCTAACATTGTAAACCTCCCAATCTTTCAAGCATATCACATAACTTTTTGAAACACCTTCTATCCATCCTAAGTTGTGATATGCACATGGTATCACTATCATAGGCATACCTATGCGACATTGCAGATCGATCCATATTTGACAAGGAATATTGAACACGTGGTCTATCCCTTCTATGTTTGGCTACTAAACAGTAAACTGTAATGAAAAACCATATATTAGTGCTCAAAGCTTCATCAAAAAATGATCTCATTATCCTACGTTTGCGTGTTGTGAGGCTAAGTCCGGCCATTTTCTGTTTATAATCCATATAAGAAATATGTTATTACAGAAGATCGTTTGCAAAAGTAATCTTATAATGCCAAGTCGAGATGCATTCAACATAACATATTTTAGAAAACAAAACTATGTGTTTTAATCTATTCATGTATGTTAGAAGAAAACACAGCCATGGATATACACAACATTCAATAATCAAACAAAAGAAGAAAAGGAGAATTAATCACTTTAAGAAGCAGAAAAAATGAAGAACGTATATAAATAAAGAGCACAAATTTGGTGTGCAGAACTCTTTTCGAAAATAAATCATAAAGCAAACAGATTTTAAGCAAACATAAATCGAAGCATAAAACTGGAAGCATAGAGATGACGAGATGGAACCAGCAAACATGAATCACAAAAACAGAAATCGAAGACTAACCTAACCAGAAAAAGGTTAGGGAAACCGAACCAGAAAACTTTTGCAGAAATCGAACCAGAAAACAGGTTAGGGAAATCAAATCAGAAAACTTTTGTAGAAACCGTACCAAAAAACAGGTTAGGGAAATCGAACCAGAGAACTTTCGCAGAAATTGAACAATAATGGAGAAACATGTGTGAAGTCGAACCTGGGTGAAGACTGGTGTCGCGATGGACAAGACGTTGGTTCGTAATAGAGATGACGAGATGGAAGGCGTTGGCTATTTCACAAGTTAGGGTATATTTGGGGTCGGAGGGTACTTTTGGAAATATGAAAAAGTTAAATTCCATTCCTTTAAAACACCACATATATTTCATGGAATGTCAAAATACCTCATCCGTGGAATTTGACGGAAATTAAAGATTCATTTTGGTAAAAAGAACGAACCAAACAACGAAATGAAATGTGATCAAAGGAATTCAACATTCTAATTCCATCAGATTCTTTTGAAATCTATGAACCAAATGTCACCTTTGATTTATTTATTTTTTTTAATTTTAATTAATTAATAACTTTTTTTATCAAGTTTTATATAAAAAGTTTAAATATACTTTTGATAAAATAATTTCACAATTTTCATCAAATATCACATGTGATATATACGATCAAATTCATATGTGATAAATGTATATACTTTTCTTAATCATATGTGATAATCGTAGATATTTTTGTTAATCATATGTAATTATGTATACTTACATTTATAGATCTTTTTGTGATGTAAATATTAACACATGATAATACGTCACTTATATTTGGACGTATATTATCGTATATGATATGTATATAAATTCACATAGTGGATCATATAGATCATATGTGATATGTAATAGATTATATGTTAAACGGAGTTTATCATATGTGATTCAAAATATGGATCCAAAAATTATAGAAAAAATGGTGAAAGAAATTTATGAATTAGTTGTAGAGATGACATGTAATATTTGATGAAAATTTTGAATTTTTTTTATCAAAATATATATACAAAAAAGTTATATAAAACTTTATAAAATAATTACGAATTTATTAAATTCAAAAATAAATAAATCTAAAAGATATAATTAGATTTTTAAAGATTTATATAATTCAAAATGATAATTATCCTAATTTTTAAAATTATTTTTTAGTTATGTTTTTTTAATTGATGTATTATGTAACTCATATTCCTTCTCGTCTTCTCGAAAATTAGTTAACTTCTCGTATGACTCTCTCTCTCGCTGTATGTGTGTGTGTGTGTGTATATATATATATATAAAGAATGGACCATTGTAGTGTCGAATGATCATAATGCTAAACATGACAATTTGTTTATGAATGAGGAGGAAGAAAAGAGTTTTGAGGTTGATGATTCTCATGATGATGTTGTTGTTGATAATGAAGAGATGGCTGCAAAATATGAAAAAGACAGCGAGGCAACAATGGCTGAGTAGATTCAGACACCAAAGAGGAAAGTTGCCGAGAGAAGGAAGGTATTATCATCACCACCACCCAATCAAAACAAGTCTGTGATAATAAATGTCTCATTTGGTAATTTTAGTTGTAGGGAAGCATATGACCATTTTGGTAATATGGCTTCCAAAGAAGCATTGGCTCACAAGGGCTAGAGTTTGAAGTAATTCTCATTCAACCAAGAGGCCATTGCTAGGCTCGGATGGGAAATTTTTTGTATTATACCTATTGGATTCAACCTCTCCTTGTAAGGGAATTTTATGCTGAGGTTGCTACATCCAAAAGCCATACAGTACGGGTCAGGGGCACTGATATGTGTTATGCTCCTACCATCATTGACAACATATTTGGTATCATTCCACCCGAATATAATCAATTGGTGACCAATGTCACCAAAAAGGATGTCAGGTAGGTGCTGTTGAGACTTGCACAACTTGGCAAAACATGGAAGAATGCATATATATACATATTACAGGTCTCACATGATCCCAAGTCTATATATATATATATATATATATATATGTGTGTGTATAGATAATGATATATACTCTCATCCACACACTATCATAATCTGAATTCGATCAATGAGCAAATGGAATAAGCATAGACATGGAGTGGGAATGAGGCCAAGGAGAACACACGTTTTAGAAAGAGAAAAAAGCATCGTTCCCTCTCTTTAGTGGTTTGGAACCAGATGCACAATATCGACACTTCCCAAAGAAAAATAGATAGCTTCAGTAATTCTTAAACTTATTAGTGCTAGTAAATTTATTTGCTACGACTTGTTGATTGAATTTTCAATAACTTGTAAGTTGCATAAGTTGGTTTTTTAGCCCTAAATTAAATTCGAGAAAAACCTGCTGACATTTATTTTGCCTTTTCTATTTATAAAAACTTACGAGTAAATGTAACATGTAATTCTCGTGTGCAACGGTCTACGCTTTCAAGACCTCTAATACCAGCGGTCTTTGACATACCTTGCTTGAGCAAATTCGTCAAAAAGAACATATCAAAATAAGCAGAATTAGCCAAAAGCGAAACTTAAATGACATGAAAGATTAATAAAATCCAGAAGGCATTAACGCCTAACAAAATTCACCCCCATGAAAATAGGGGTACCAAAAGACCAAAACATAATAAGAGAAAGTGTATCACCAGCACCTTAAACATGATATATAGGCACTGCTTAAATGAAACTAAACAAACTGTAAAACAGATAAATCGAGCCAGGGACGACAATACAATTAGTCGACCTCCTCGATCTTGGGGCCAGCACCGCTTCCTCCTGAAGGAGCAGCGTCCTCGTCCATACCACCGGCAGCATCACCAGCTCCACCTTGGTACATCTTAGCAATGATTGGGTTGCACACGTTCTCAAGCTCCTTCATCTTGTCTTCAAATTCATCAGCCTCAGCAAGCTGGTTGGTGTCCAACCATGAAATAGCCTCATCGATAGCATCCTCGATCTTCTTCTTGTCACCCGGGGTCAACTTCTCGCCAATCTTCTCATCCTTCACGGTGTTCCTCATGTTGTAGGCGTAGTTCTCCAAAGCATTCTTGGCCTCAACCTTCTTCTTGTGTTCCTCATCCTCAGACTTGTATTTCTCGGCCTCCTGAACCATCTTTTCAATTTCTTCCTTTGAGAGCCTTCCCTTGTCATTGGTGATGGTAATCTTGTTCTTCTGTCCGGTTGTCTTGTCTTCAGCAGAGACATTAAGGATACCATTGGCATCAATGTCAAAGCAGACAGTGATCTGGGGGACTCCTCTGGGGGCTGGAGGAATGCCGGAGAGCTCGAATTTGCCCAACAAGTTGTTGTCTCTTGTTCGGGTTCTTTCACCTTCATAAACTTGAATCAACACACCGGGCTGGTTGTCGGAATATGTAGAGAAAACTTGTTCCTTTTTGGTTGGGATGGTGGTGTTTCTTGGAATGAGAACAGTCATGACACCTCCAGCGGTTTCAAGACCAAGGGAAAGGGGAGTAACATCCAAAAGAAGCAAATCTTGGACTTTCTCGTTGCCCTCACCACTCAAAATGGCGGCTTGAACAGCAGCACCGTAAGCAACAGCCTCATCAGGGTTGATGCTCTTGCAGAGCTCCTTTCCATTGAAGAAGTCTTGGAGTAGCTGTTGGACCTTGGGAATTCTGGTGGATCCACCAACAAGAACGACATCATGGATGGAGCTCTTGTCCATCTTGGCATCTCTCAAACATTTCTCAACAGGCTCCATGCACTTCCTGAACAGATCCATGTTCAGCTCCTCGAATCTAGCACGGGTGATGGTGGAGTAGAAGTCAACACCTTCATATAGAGAGTCAATTTCAATGGTGGTCTGGGCAGTGGATGAGAGAGTTCTCTTTGCCCTTTCACAAGAAGTCCTCAACCTCCTGAGAGCTCGGGGGTTGCCGGTAATATCCTTCTTGTGCTTCCTCTTGAATTCTTGAACAAAATGGTTGACCATTCTGTTGTCGAAATCCTCTCCACCAAGATGAGTATCACCAGCGGTGGCTTTAACCTCAAAGATACCTTCTTCAATGGTCAGAAGAGACACATCAAAGGTACCACCACCAAGATCGAAGATGAGAACATTCTTCTCACCAACGCTGGTAGCCTTCTTGTCAAGACCATAAGCAATGGCTGCAGCAGTGGGTTCATTGATGATACGCATGACATTAAGTCCTGAGATCACACCAGCATCCTTGGTAGCCTGACGCTGTGAGTCATTGAAGTATGCAGGAACAGTGACAACGGCGTTTTTCACTGTTGATCCAAGGAAGGCCTCAGCAATTTCCTTCATTTTGATGAGCACCATGGAGGAGATCTCCTCAGCAGCAAAAGTCTTCTCTTCCCCTTTGTAGTTAACAGCAATCATGGGCTTCTCAGCTGGTCCAGGGGTAACCTTGAAAGGCCATAGCTTGATGTCACTTTGGACAGAGGAATCAGAAAATCTTCTACCAATGAGACGCTTTGCATCTATAACCCAAATCAAAGTGAAAACAAGCTTTAGTGGAAAATTATACAGCAACGATACATGAAATCAAAATTGGGATTCTACCTTTATTTTTTCAGGTTACACAGTAACAATATATGAAAGCAAATTTGGGATTTCTTCGACAAATTTTTACAGAACATAATCAATTGATAAATGGATAAAGATACAAACTGAACAACAATTGCCGCTCCCAATTTATAAGCCAAACAAAAAAGAAAATTAACACAAGAAACTGTTTTTAGCAAGCAAACGATTTAAATAAAAGAATAAATGAACATTTAAAAAAATCACAAAAATAACATTAAAGTGATATCAGGATTATACATATTTATTTTAACATAAGTTGGATCCTTATATTATTGTTGTGCAAAATAATTTCAATAAAAAATAGATCGTATGAACATTTACTAAGGTTACACTCTGGAACCCGGAACAAAACCATATTGATAGATCTAATAGATTTTAGAGCAATATAAAACAACGTTTTATATTGCTTAAGTTTATTAAGTTTATAAAACAACGTTTTATTATTAGTTTATTACTTAAGTTGATTTCATAAGATTTAAATTGCAACCCCAAACTTGAAACATATATAAAAGTTCCAACAACGCTTTTTAACTAATAATATTCGAGATTTAAACATACGTTGTGCATCACATATTAAAGTGTGTATACTGACCAAATCATATGCACCCATAACGAATTAACAAGCAACGGTAGTGGAAAATGAACACGCAGAATACAATATCTCAGATCTTATTAACAGGCATACCATAAGCTAAAACACTTCCAATAGATCTATGGAGTTGTACCGACAAACAACAAATTTAAAAAGTGAAAACCACAGATATAGCTTGCTTTGACCACTAAGACATCAGATCCAGTAGGCTTCATAGTGTAATTAACATATTATGTATATTTTACTAAATAAAACCAAACAGACACAGATACTATAAGCCAAAATACACTAACATAGCAAAACATATCAGATCCAACGGTAATATAGACATAAATCACAACCAAAAAACTGCTTGAACATCAAAGATTCAAGATCTAAAATTCAAAAGCATAAAAATCTCGGATCCAATAAAAGCTCACGGTAATAGCAGAGAAAACTCACCAAAGACAGTGTTGGTAGGGTTCATGGCGACCTGATTCTTGGCGGCATCACCAATCAACCTCTCGGAATCGGTAAATGCAACATAAGACGGGGTCGTCCTGTTCCCTTGATCATTGGCAATGATCTCAACACGATCGTGTTGCCAAACACCAACACATGAGTATGTAGTTCCAAGATCAATACCGATAGCAGGACCTTCACCTTTACCGGCCATAATGTTTTTTCTCTCTCTCGAGTAGTGGGTGAAATTAGGGTTTGAGAGAGAGGTATGAGGGTTTGAGACGATGAAAAAGGATTGGTATATATGGAGTAACAAGGAGTTGTGTTGGGGAGTTCTAGAATGTTCCTCAACCGTTGAGATCGTTTTCAAACGCGTTGATTGGACGGCTACAGATCAAAGACGGAAGTCGTCTTCGCTTTTGGTCCAACCCTTCTCATTGTAGACCTAATTTTTGGGAGCCATTGATACTTCCCGCCGCCCTCCCTTTTTTTCCCCTTCAAAAACGTCATATTTTTAATTTTCAGAGAAATTACATTTTGTGGATTAAAAAAATCAATAAATTTGATTTGATAAATTTTGTCATTGTATTTAATTGATAAAAAATTTAAAAAATAATTTATTAATTGTTTGTAATTGAATAATTTTCAAAATTTATGATTATAATTTATTATTGTATAAGTATCTATTTTATGCCACTTTATAAAACATGTTTGAGAAATTCTTAAAAACAACTTAAACTGCATTCAGTACTACTCTTTTATACATAAAATCTTAAATCTCTTAATTATAACTTAAACTGCATAAGATACAATTCCATTAATGCATAAAGTCTTTCAAAACAAGAGGGCTCTTTATTTTCCCAAGACAATTTGTAGCGTCTCTTTTCCAAAACGTCGATTCAGGTGCAAAGTTCCTCTTTCCAAGGCCGAAGTTGTTGTAAATACATTCCCCCCAGGTGATGATTCACCCAAATCCAGCATTCATGTATGACTATTCATCTCTAATTCTTGTTTTAATTTCCATTTCTCTAGATTTGATCATCCCTCGCTCCATCAGATGTAAAGGTTTTATCACTTTGAAACCCTCAATCTTGATGTTCTTCCTTATTTAGATCATCAATTCTGGTTTGATTTCTCCATCGCTCTTTAGGTTTGATTTCCTCCGTCCAACTCCTTTTACTCCCACGTTGGAAAGCATATGAACTTGACTGAACTGAATGACCAGCCCTGGGTTGAGGTAAAAGAAGAAGGGATAAGATAAGACAGTAGCACCCACCATTTTGTCAGTAGAAGGTTATCCAGTTGATCTTCGTAAGTAAGTAAGTTTTTTATGTAGGTCAGTCTTGCACGCTAGTTTCACCACTAATTTAAACTAGCATGGAAACTAGCTCGAGAATTTCAGTGTATTGCGCTAACTTAAACTAGCACTGAAACTAGCCTGAGCCCAAAAATGCCTAGCACTAATTTTGAAGTGAGTTTAACTCAATTGGCAACTAGCTTGACACTATATTGTGTTTTTAAGCTGATTTTCAACATCTCGAGTGCTCGAACTTGCTTCGAATTACACTATAAATGAAAATATTGTAAGTATGTTTGTTCAAGTGATAGCAACACATGAATAACTTGGACTTTGAAATGTGTTTGTCTAGTAGTGATGTTTATTTGTGCTTAAATGCATAATAAATGACCAAACTTTAGGAAAAGAAAACATTGATGTTGGAGACATCCAAAACGGCCGTTGTTGATTGACATATTTTCTTTGATTCAAACCATTTTATGTAATATTGTAACAAAGTTTTAATCCAACTTGACCCAACAAAATTTGCACGGTTGGGTTGGGTTGCAGTGTATTTTTCATTGGATTGAGACACATAGGGATTTTCCTATTTCTATCCCTCCTATTGAATAAGGGATTGTAAAATTTATAGGGTCTTTCAGCTTAGGATGAATTTTACTAGATAACAGTGCACTGGACCCTTCTGTCAGAGCTACAATTTCATACTCAGTCAGCATTTTTTTACTCAAAATGTCTTTTAGAAACTTTTCATAACTTGACATAAGCTCGATATATGTTTATATGTAACTGTTTAAAAACATAAAAAAATTTCTAAATTATAATTCTTCCTTTAGATTTTTTAATCTTTGGGGATAAGAAATATAAGGAGTGCCTGCAATAGGAGAAAAGTCTTTTGAAGAGTAGGTGCTGGAATGGGTTTCAAAGTTGGTTCTATAATGGGTTTCGAATCAGCTCTACAAGGGATTATAGGATTGGTTAGGACAGATATTGTGGGACTATCACCAGATTGTGACACATCCATTACAATACTTTCTTTGGGTGTCTGGGTTTTCTTGGGTTCATCAGGAAATAGTAATGGAAATTCTAATCTTTTTGGAATGACTGTAATATCAATGGGCCTAACTATGGGTTGAGGCTCACTGGTACTATCTGTTGGTCCCAAAAGGGTCTACAAGAATACTAAACAGTTTGTAGAAGGGGGGGGATGAATACAAGCACAATTTTCAAATTTAAAATATATATTGATAAAGAAGATCAATACAGATTTTACAAGATTGTTTGCGGAAAGATAAGTTGAGAGAAACCTATCTAAACAACCTTTAGATACACACAAAGATTAGCAAGATATAAGAAAAATAAGTTGAGAGAAACCTATCTAAACAACCTTTAGATACACACAAAGATTAGCAAAATATAAGAGAAGATATTGCTGGGGGGTTCTTTTACTTAAGCTGAAAGAAGCTTAAAGTAAGTATGAGTAAGAGAGTGATTATCAACAAATCAGTGTATGATCGCTGGAACTGAAATTACAGATACATAAATACATCGAAAGGAAAAAGGGATTATCAACAAATCAATGAAAGAGAGGATCAACACAAAGTCTTAAAAGTCTTAAAAACAACTCATAATGCATTAAGTATTACTACTTTATGCATTCAGTCTTAAAATCTTTTAATCTATAATTAAAATAACATACAGTACAAATTACCAATGTACATTATTATCTTTCCTTTTCATGTTCCCAAGATACTTTTAACATATTTCACTCATGACTTCACTGTCTCATGCCTCTATGTCTTCTCCTCATCATGTGAGATTCAAACTAATATTCACCATGAGTCATTAAAAGTTCTCTCATTCATCTCTCATTTAATTGCTCTAGAATTCTCGGTCTCGCTCTCGATCTCTTGATTCTTTGCTCTTGTTGTAAATCGAACACATTTATGGAGTCATTTAAATATGTTGGATTTTAAATATATTGGATTTTAAACTGTTATACAATTTTTTTCATTGATAGACTGTAATTGAAACCATAACTCTTATTTATTCAATTTGTATTCATATGTAAAGATCAAGTGTAACTTATATTATCGTTAAATCTTCTTATTAAAACCAGTGAAACTTCAAAATTGTTAAAATTCACGGCTCCTACCATATTGCACGGGTACACAACTAGTATTATAACATTATAAAGAAAAATATAATATTTAACTTAATATAATTATGTGGATATAATATATTATTTATAATTTAACTTTACATAATTGTATATATATAGGGTTTATTTCAAATACAACCTATTGCATTTGTACAACCAATGCAACCCAATAAANTGTTGTTTTCTTGAAGTATCGTTGTCTCTGAATGAATTTCAAAACAAGTTCATCAGCGATCACTGAACAAGCTCAGTGTATGATCGCTGGAACTGAAATTACAGATACAGAAATACAATGAAAGGAAAAAAGGGATTATCATCAAATCACTGAGAGAGAGGATCAACAATTTTGAAAAGAATTTTAATGAAAAACCTGTTTCTGAGGATGTGTATTATAAAAAGAATAAAACCAAAGAGAATTCGAGGAAACAGAAGAAGCTTACAAAGAAAATTAAACAAACAGTTCATCTTTCATTTAAATCTGATGATTTTATTTTTCCTGTTTTAGATAAAGCATTGAGGTTTAAGAAGGTTTAGACAGTAAAAGAAGAAGAAAAATCTTCAACTCAACAAAAGAAGAATAATTTTACTAAATCTGTATTAAATGATTCGATATTGAATAATTCTGTAAAAAGATATTCAGTTGATGAATTGTTTGATATTAGAAATGGTAAAAATAATTCTTCTCCGAGTGGATTGAATGAGTTACTTAAGTCTTTTACTTCTTTTAAGCCTTATCATTTCATGCATTCTGCTTTTTCTACTTTATCTAAGAAATTGCATATTAAAGAACGTTGGTTCAGTACTTACAGTATACCACCAACGAATATTGCGCTTAAAGGACCAAAACTAAAATATGTACCAAAACCCAATTGATTCACTTTTGCAGGTTAACCGGCATGTGTGGTTCTTAGACTCCGGAWGTTCTAAGCACATGACTGGTAGAAAAGAATTATTATCTAACTATGTTGAATCTTTTGGAGGTACGGTAAAGTTTGGAAATGATCAATACGCGCCTATCCTTGGATACGGTGACGTAATTTCTAGGAATTTAATGATTAAGAAAGTGTCGTTTGTCGAAGGACTTGGACATAATATGTTTAGCATAGTTCAATTTTGTGATAAGAATTTAGAAGTCTGTTTTAAAGCTAACCAATGCAGCATCCGAACTACTAATGGTAAGGAGCTCTTAGCTGGAATTAGAAGATCAAATATCTACACGATTGACCTATCCAATACACAAGTAGATATTGATGTCTACTTGATATCCAAGGCATCCTTGAAGTAGAATCTACTATGGCATCAGCGTCTTTCGCATTTAAATTTCAAGTATCTGAACAAGTTGGTATGTGACAACTTGGTTAAAGGAATCCCAGACCTAAAGTTTCATAAAGACCATGTATGCGGCGCATGTGAGATGAGCAAACTGAAGAACGCTTCACATAAGCGGAAGACGGAGTTCAACAACGAACGTCCTCTACACTTACTCCATATAGATCTTTCTGGTCCTATGCGAGTCCAAACCATCAATGGAAAGAAGTATGTGTTGGTCATAGTTGATGACTATTCCAGATATACCTAGGTTCATTTTCTATGGTCAAAGGATGAAGCGGCCGAGACAATAATCTCATTCTTGAAGACAGTCCAAAATAATCTGCAACTACCAGTTCAGAAAATCAGAACTGATAACGGAACATGATTTAAGAACAATACACTCAGTTCATTCCTCGAATCCATCGGTATTACACATACATTTTCAGCAGCCCGGACACCGCAACAGAATGGTGTCGTTGAGCGAAAGAATAGAACATTGGTGGAAGCGGCGTGGACATTACTT